TGATTAACAAAATGTTCAACGGGATAAAAAGTGAAAAGATATACTCCCTCCGTTTCAAAATATAAGTTGTTTTAGTTAAAGTCGCGAATATTACGAAACTACTTTTCTTTAAAAAAAAAATAATTTAATATCTATAATACAAATAATTTACTAAATAAAAAAAAAGAGTCTGCAGAACATTATTGGTCACACAGTATTTAATAAAGTTAAAAAGTACAAAAGATTGTTAAAGCAACTTATATTTTGAAATAAAAAAACTTCCAAAACAATTTATATTTTGAAACGGAGGGAGTATATATATAGGCGAAACGGTTTGTTTTGAAAAGACGCAACCCTTGAAAATAACTATAAAATGGTTATGTCGAAAAGACACAACTCTTGACAAAACGGTTATACCGGAAAGACGCAACTTTTGACAAAACGGTTATATCGAGAAGATGCAACTTTTAGAAATAATCACCAAACGGTTTTTTTACGAAAAGACACAACTTTTCGAAAAGATGCAACCCTTAAAAACAACCACTATATATAAACCGAGACGTCACACCCCAAAAATATTTATTTTTTTGAGTTTGCGATTATATATAGATAAATGATCATAAATCTTGGTAATAAATCAAGATCAAATCAATCTCCGAAATTGTAGTTTGGTAAGAAAGTATTAAAAAGTATTAAGTGAAATTTGGGGTATAGTGTTTCAGTGTAGCTATAGCGACGAATGTCTCTTCCCAAAACTAAAATAAATGTGCGCGAAAATTTTAAAATATCGTAAAAAGTTTGGAAAAAAAAAGAGTTTATGCTTCCGCTTATATTTTTGAATTACTTTCTATTAATTCTGCTTCTTGTTTCCCACTTTTTCTCATATTTTCCAAACCCTAAATCTTATTTTTCTCTTCTCCTACGCAAAGAAAATTCGATAACACCCTATATCGCAGCAATATTTATCTCCATTGCTATTGCTCTCGTCTCTCATACTCTCTTACGGTCTCGAGCTGCCTCCGCCTCAGAACATCACTCATCTCTATGGTACAATTCCTCTTCAATATATGGTTTGTGTTTTTGGGTTAATAACGTGAATAAACGAACGTAATTATCTAGTTATTACTATATACAAGATAGGAAAAAAAATTATACCAAATGTGTGGTGGACTAGTGGTAACACAATGGAGTTGGTTCTCTTGTGCCCCGGGTTCAAATCCCTTTGGTACGGAGGGTTATTCTTTAAATCATAATATACAAATACTGCCTCCGAATACCGAAGAGATTATGAGCCAAAAGTTCGGAACTGCAACAGTTTATAAAAAAAAAAGTGGGG